TTCCAGGCTTCTCTCTGTGCCTTGTACCTAGCTGTCTTCCCTCCGTGTCTACTCACGTTGTCATCTCTCTACTCATATCTCTATGTACAAATATCCCCTTTTTATAGCAACTTCCATTAAGGCCAGCATTAATAACCTCATTTTAACTTGATTGTCTTTGAAATAATCCTATCTCGAAATCAATGCCACAATGTAGAATTTTGCGGAACAGGCAATTGAACCTATAATAGTGGCAAAGGTAAGTGGCAGATCTATATGCATATCATTATATCATTACACATGTGTGTGTATATGTACATATATGTGTATATGATGTTTATGAAAGGCAGAAATCAAAAATCGTATTTTAAAATTTACACAGCCACATTGTTACTTGTGGGAACTTCTGAGTAGGAGGCTGAGTTTTGGAGGAACTTTGTAAAGACAACAATGCCATTTCTATGTATTTTTAGAATTTTTGCAAGAAAAATATGTGCACTATTTACTTTTAAGTCAAATATTGAAGTAACCCTAAGAAAAGGAAGAGGAGCACTCCAGTAGCCACATTAAGTAACAGTAACCTGATGGAACAGAAAAAATTCCCTGAAAGTTAAATGGCTTAACACGAGTTTATTTTTGTGCAAATCAATTCTGATTGAAGTTGGCAGGGTGTTGTGGGCTGAGTTGCACCCCTCTTTCCAAGTTCATATACCCAAGTCTCAAACCCCAGGACTGCAGAGTATCACTGTATGTGGAGACAGAGCCTTGAAGAGGCAACTAAGGTAAAATGAGCTCTTACGGTGAGGATCATATTCAATACGACTGGTGTCCTCATCAGAGGAGATTAAGAGCAGATTAAGATACAGACACACAGACCAAGGAACAACCATGGAAGAATTCACTGAGAATTCTTGCCACCAGCAAACCACGTAGAGGACAGGGAGGAAATCAAACTGGCTCATATCTTGATCTTAGATATTTAGCCTCCAGCAGTGTGAGAAAATACAATTCTATTGTTAAAGTCACCCAGTTTGTGGTATTCTGTGATGGTATAATAAGCTAATCCACAGCAGGTCCTGGCTTTCACCTAAGCCAGGAATCCAAGCTGCTTTCACCTTGTAGCTCCACATCACAACAGATGTTAAGTACTGAACAGAAACGGAAGCATGGGAAAGATGCACTGGCTTCTGTCTAACTGCAAATGAACCAGCCAGGAAGGCAAGCTAGATAAGACAGAGACGGGCACTTGTAGTCTCTTCCATACGTTATTACGGTGCTCAATGAAAAAGCAATTATTATAATTGATGACAGTAAGTCTCTTCATTGCTTGGGATTGTTTCTGGGAATGTCTGCATAGCCTTGAAATCTTCCAGCTTTTTCTTGCACCTATGAAGTGACTGGTGGTTTCAAATACAGGATTACATGTAGTTTTAAAACAATTCTATAAGTCTTCACAGAGAGGATCAACCTTACTTCCTCAATATCACTTGGCACTGTCCTTTTAATAACCTATATAATTTCTTTAGTCTGAGAATTCTCTCATATATTTGGTATATGATAAATAACCTGCCCTGTGAGCCTCTGCTACCCTCCATATGATGGAACATTCCTGAAGAGCTATACATGTGCCTGTGGCTCACTGCAAGTCAAGATTTTCCAGTGGGGCAGGTACACAGAGAAGAGACAGTGGAAGGATGTTTAACTATTGTTTATCTCTCATCAGAGCTGGCATGTCCCCCAAAGTACCCTTGTTACCTCCTAGGCAGCCTTCAAGATTTCATTATGGTTTTGTTTTATTAGAAATTCACCTTCTTGTAGATCATTTATAAAGGGATGTATATAGCCTTTCTTCATCTACAAAGTTTATGAAGGACAGATTGGTATTTGATCATCTACAAAAGCTTATTCATCTCTGTTTGTGTTCAGTGCCCTGTTTCAAATAATGCATCTCATTAAAATCATACTACAAGTATCAAATATTAGGAAGATTTCAAATAGGCTGTATCTGACCTTCGGATTGCATCCCTAAAATCCATGTGTTATGTGGCAAATCAGATTTTACTCTGCAGCCTATGTGGAAATACGTTAGCAGTATGTTGAAGATACCCAGCCTAGATATGGAAATGCCACTATCCAAAATGAGTATTCACATTGAAGGGCCATTATCACAGAGGAGCCAGGGGGAGGGATGAATCAGTCAGGGAACTTCTCCAGGGACACACAGTGCTCTATGTCAGGGGATGGGCAGATGTCTCTGGGCTCTTGCACTGAGGGCTGGGCACAGCCTTCAGGGTGGGAGACATAGTGAGAAGTTAGCAGGCCAGGTTCCAGAGTTGCACAAGAGAGCACCCAGGGGAGATCAAATGGAGGGTGCTGTAATGTGGGAAAGGCCTGGGGCTGGACAAAAGTACTGGCACCCAGACAGAGTCAGCTCTCAAGAAACTTAGGGCTCATAACAAAAGAATTTCAGTAAAGAAAGCCTAAAACCATTTCTGAATTGTATTGATTCTCATTGTCACCTTTCTTCTCTAGGCCTATCTAAATATTTGTCACAGGTTTCCTTTTTATTTTATCTGAATGTTGTGGGAAGTCAGGGACCCTGAACAGAGGGACCAGCTGGAGCCGTGGCAAAGGAACATAAATTGTGAAGATTTCATGGGCGTTTATCACTTCCCTAATAATACTCTTAAAATTTCTTACATCTGTCTTACTTTAATCTATTAATCCTGTTATCTTCATAAGCTGAGGATGTACGTCACCTCAGGGCCACTGTTATGATTGCATTAACTGTACAAATTGATAGTAAAACATGTGTGTTTGAACAATATGAAATCAGTGCACCTTGGAAAAGAACAGAATAATAGCAATTTTAGGGAACAAGGGAAGACAACCATAAGGTCTGACTGCCTGTGGGGTCGGGAAAGAAGAGCCATATTTTTCTTCTTGCTGAGAGCCTATAAACGGATGTGCAATTAGGAGAGATATCGCTAAAGTGCAAGTAGGAGAGATATCACTAAATTCTTTTCCTAGCAAGGAATATTGATATTTAATACTCTGGGAAAGAACTGCATTCCTTGGGGGAGGTCTATAAATGGCCGCTCTGGGAGTGTCTGTCCTATGCGGTTGGAATAAGGACTGAGATACGCCCTGGTCTCCTGCAATACCCTCAGGCTTACTAGGGTGGGGGAAAAAAACCCATCCTGGTTAAATTTGAGGTCAGACCAGTTCTCTGCTCTGGAACCCTGCTTTCTGTTAAGATGTTTATCAAGACAATATGTGCACAGCTGAACATAGACCCTTATCAGGAGTTCCTAATTTTGTCCTTGCCCTGTTTCCTCAGAAGCATTTGACCCTTGTTCTCCTTTTTGCCCTTTGAAGCATGTGATCTTTGTGACCTACTCCCTGGTCATACACCCCCTCCCCTTTTGAAATCCCTAATAAAAACTTGCTAGTTTTGTGGCTCATGGGCATCATGGACCTACTGATATGTGATGTCACCCCTGGCGACCCAGATGTAAAATTCCTCTCTTTGTACTCTTCCTCTTTATTTCTCAGACCGGCCGACACTTAGGGAAAATAGAAAGAACCTACATTGAAATATTGGGGGCGGGTTTGCCTGATATCTGAGAGACATTAGGAAGTGTGAAGAGAAGTGACATAACAGAAAGAAGACTATGCTCAGGCTGAGAGGAGTGGGGACAGTGTGGGTCTTGATGAACTCAGAACTCAAGTCCCAGCCCAGTCACTTTCTCATCATGTGATGATCATGTGATCGTGGGGTATCTGTCATGAGTTATAAACCTCAGCTTTTTTGTCTGTAAAATGGTTTGGTAATCTCTGTTCTGTAGAATTGCTGGAATGTATACACTGTGGGCAAAACACCTGGCAGAGAGCTTGGTATACCTTGGAATTTTAATAAAGGGCAGTTGATTACAACCCAAAAGTCTACCACAAAAGTCTTTTGAGAAAAATTCAGCTCTTGTTTTTGTTATGCAAAACGACTCACAGAACATCTAGCTGAATATGTCATAGAATATGAACTGAACCAAAAGTTTGGCTTCATAAGAATAACTCAGGACATTTTCTTTCTAAAAGGATATATTGTATCATTCAGGTAAGGAGAGGCTTTCACAGCTGAATGCAACTCAATGACTATAGATTTTGAGTTAAGGACCACCTCCTTTTCACCTTCCCCACTGATCATCCATCCAAACAGCTAGTTTTATTTAAGCTCCACTAAAAATCTACACATTGCTTAGACTTGTCCACATTACTTTCAGAAGAACCCAACAAAAAGTCCTGTCAATGAAATGGGCTTGGGCTCTCCCAGGCCAGGCAGATGAGTGTCAGCCCGGAGGCTTCTGAGCACCACATCAAGGAATTCTAACCACATTTCTCAGGAAACCCTTGCAGATGATGGGGATCAACCACCTAGTCCTTGCACTGTGTTCAAGCTCCCCAGTGACAGAGCCACAGGACACCTTCCATGACTTCCCCATGTGGAGACTCCTCTCTGCTTCATCCTCCACCCAGAGCCAACTGCTCAAGTAGTTTTCCATTCCAGGCTTTTCTCTCACCTTCTGAGAGTCTGGGCCCTGCCACCACCCGGCTTCAGAACAATCAGCTCCCACAGAAGCACCTGCAGTTTCCCAAAGCCCAAAACTGCCTTAGCTCAGGGCCTTTTTACTCAAAGCCTCCATCTGGAGTCTCACCTCCCCACTCGTTTTGAAACTTATTCTTTAGATTGTAGAGAAAATCTTACCACATTCCTTATATGGCTTGTGTACCTACACTCTACCATTTTAAGGGTAGGGATAAGTCTTGCTTTTAATAGTAACTTAACTATTAACAGTAATATCTATGAGCAAATGCTGATATAATGGTCATCAAATAAATGAGTCACTGACACTTTTATTTGTTACATTTTACTTTCTGCTACTTTCTTACATAAGCCAAACAAACCAGGTATGTATCTTTAGTTTCAAGAACAACAAACTAAAGGGCCTGAGGAAATGCAAATATTAACAATCCTTTACTTTGTTCCAGTATTTAAGTGCAGAGTTCCTTCACAGTTTCAAGAAAATTCCTACAGCAATACATTAACCAGTGACACATCACAAAATGAGGCAGGTTTTCCCAATGTGGTGTGTTTGTGTGTGTTTTTGTTTTTACAAAATATCAAACTGTTACTCTTAAACCAGATAAACAGCAATACACGTGTGACTAATATTCATAAACTAAGATTCTGAAGCTATTTAAACCTGTCATTAATAGGAAAAGAATTTGAAACATACCCAAAAGGAAAACAGGTAAATCCCTTAACCACCCATATGGAACAGAAGTGCAAACAGCACTGTGTTCTCCCCAGCTTCAGCCGGGCCCTCCACCACACAGAAACTCGACCGCCCTCTTCAAACTCAGAGGGACTAATCTACCCGACTTCACTCAGAAGAGAAGCTGGGGGACACGACACTGGAGCTTGCACTGTCTGTGGCAGTGGAGTCATCTGTGGTGTCAATTAGGGCCTGGGCTCTCTCTTCCACATCTTTCAAAGCATCCTTGTACGAGGGTGGAAAGGAAATAGGGACGGTATTGTTGAGCATGGCCAAAAACTCTACTACTTTCCTCTTACTGATTTCTGAATGAGCTCTTGGACCCCACAGGAATTCGTAACGTGGAGGAGCAGTGTTGGGCACCTCCCGGTACTCTAGGTAATGTTCCTGCACCCAAACTTTAGTGAGGAGCTCCCTGGGCTCCCCAAAGATAAAGTGCTCCCTCCCAGCACGCACCCCTATTCCACTCAGCACATCCCAGATGACCTCCTCAGAGGCACAGGTGCCCTTCATGAAGATGATACTCAGAACAAGAAACAAGAGGTGGTTCTGAGGCATACCCTGCTCATCACTCACACTCCCCTCACAGCTGAGCGCTAATGTGTTTACAAAGACGTAGGAGTCCTCAGGGTCCACCTCTCTCAGGGAAATGCCAAAAAGAATCTCTATGAACTCACGGGCTTTCCTGAAGATCATAGGAAAGTAGCCCGTGTACCTGTTG